ATTATGTACATCAAAACAAGGCAGAGTTTTGGAAGGATTATGAATGACAGCTTGGGACAGTAAATAACCAAGTGGCGGAGGGTTCAAGTTGAGACATTAATGAGGTTGCAACCTTGTTTCTGTCAATTTGGATTTACTAATAGCTGGCTTAATTCAGTCTGTATCTCATTTCTCAACAAATAACTGGCACACTACTTATATATGTCAGAAAAGGTGACTTTTTGATATGTGTTTTTTCCATTGATTAGCAAAACTAACCTGAAAAGGAGGTGAGGCAAACCAAAATAAGAAATCCAGAATGGTTGACAAAGAGAAAGATAGGAATAATTTTTAAAACAATCTGATAGGACTAGGATATGCTTTCTTTAAAGTGGAATAAAAAGCGGTGTGTATTTTTTTATTTTTATTTTTTTTAAGAAAAGCATTCCTAGTAGTTTCCTCAGTCACATGTTAGAGATTTACGGAGACTAGACACAAATACACACACACATCCAATCTAACACAGAGAGAGCCTGGAAAGCTTTAGAGAATCAGCATAGCCCATCAGATATTCACCTCCCACAAAAGGGTGGGCAGTAATTTTGCAGAGGAGGGGTATCTAATGCTTTCCAGTTGTGGAAAGTTGTAACAAAAATAGTGAGAAACAGAGAGGAAAGCAATGGAGAGACAAGGCAAGTTAGTTACTTTGGAGCTAATTACTTCAACTAGGTAAGTCTTACTAATTCATTTGATGACCTATTTCTTAAGTACTTGTGATACGTGTATTAGCTTAAATGTATTATGTTCATACTGTGTTACCAACAATATCTCACACTCTTTTTACCAGAAGCTTGTTGGAAACAGGATTGTTAGATTTGAATCTTTATTTCTTTCTTCTTTGTGTAAAACGAGTACAAAATCCTGAGATACTGTAAGCTACTGCAACACTACTCAAATATGCATATATTAAATATATTTATTCCAGTTGAAGATAAACCTCTTTGGCATTCCTATTACCCTCTCATTTCCCATGACATGCAAATAGAGCATGTGTGGATTATAAATCAATAGAAAAACAGAAAAATATGTATTTTCTCTTTAAAAAAAAAAAAAAGATCTCCACAGTCTGTAACTTTATACAGAAAATGTGGTAAGAAATTCTGCCCTGTATATTGTAGTTTTCACTTAAGTAACTGACAAGAAGGCTGGCATCAAAAGAGATGTTTAAATTGGAGGAGGTTACTTTCTTAGTTTTGAATAATTGTCTGAAAGGGGAAAGTTGGCTCTTTCAGAGTTTGAACAACTGGGAGTTGCATTACTCCCCCCCCCCACTCCTGCCCTTTCAAATAGAAATTCAGCAAGGGGAGAGCAGAGAAGAAAAAACTATATGCTGTTTTGCATAAGTGAATCATTAGTGCTGCATCTTTCATCACCAGATCATATTAGGTAATTTAACAGCTTATATACAATCGTGTCACCTTGGTGCTAAATTGTATTACACTGGGCAAATGTTATGGTAAAAGATGCCACGGTCTTAATTCACGCCTTCATTCTGCATATAACTCAAAACTAAAATAAAGTTATATACTTTGCATCCTATTTTAAGATATCCTGTGTGATAGAAGTAATGCGATGTACCTCTCCTATATCAATACACCCAAGTCATAACTCACCAAAGTTCTGATTATTCTGTGGAATATAAAGGAAATGGGAAGACAAATAGGCATTAAGAAAACCCCTTGGTGGTGGTTATTCAATTTTTAATCAGCATGAAAGTATAGGGTCAAAGTAGGCAGGCTGGCCCCAATATAGAGCAGAACCTCAATTTGATAGAGGGGAAAGTTTAATCTTTTGTATGTCAGACATCAATAAGACTTTTCTGTTTCTTTTGTTTTTGGTTTTAACTACCCGTGTCATGTGAAAGCTCCAATTAGTTTTGAAGTGGGTGCATGGCCAAGGGAGTAGGGATAAAATCTGACCGGTACACTGATCAGTGTCAGGCTCCTATGCTTTGTTTCGGTAGAAGAAATCCCAAAAGGGAGCGATGTATTGCATATTTAACCTACTAGGTCATCTAACCAAACTTTTTCCTCTTAGATCAGTATTAATATATCAGGTTGTACAGCCTCAAGTACTGAGAATTTTCTAATTATCCTGACCGTTCTAATTATTACCTGACTTGCTCTGACCTCACATATAATAATTTCCCTCTTAACGATTCTTATTCTATTTTAACAGCCTTTGGAAAAAGGTTTTTTGAGGCATGGACACAATTTAAGCAGGTTTTATTTTCAAAAGGGCCTTCATATGTTTCCTCTTTTCTCTTCCACGACATAGACACTCATTTTGTAGATCTTACACAGCTGGCTGAAATTGAATGCATTTGCACCAGAAGCTGTCCTATATTGAGTCCATCTACACAAATGTTCTTTATTCTGCCTAGATGTGGGTCTTGAAAAAATTAGGGACTAAGGTTGTTTCTCTGTTTTTTCACTGTGTAAATCCATTTCCCTGTTCATGACTAAGTACTTCTGATTATGCCAAGAGCCACATAAATTGATCATCAGTTCAGAAATACACATGGCCAATTTCACATGAAGGATTTTGACATTTGAACAATCATTTCTAAATCTACTTGATCAAATACTTAATTTGCCCAAAGCCACATACAAAGCACATCGTTCTTTTAAAAAATTAGCATATCGTACCACCTAATGATGCACAGTGACTATTTCTTGATTTTACCTTATCCTATTACTGTTAGGATTTTTTTTTAATAACACAGACATCACACTAGCTAGTCACAATAATGTAGGGATATGAAATGTTTTGCATTTAATTCGAAAAGGATGCTTCGGAGTGTATGGGGGTGTGAATGCACTGCTTTTTGGTAACTCAATCCTAGAAAGAGACAATGCTGCTTTAATGAGTCTTTGGCAAATATTGCATTTATGGTCCTGTATGCTCCAAAGCACCTTTTGGGAACTGAATCCAAGCTTACTGCTGAGCATATCTGGGTCTATATTTCAGTTTGCTGTTCCAAAAGTCGTTATTTCAAAATCAGTTTAAGATGTAATTGAGGCATGCAACTTTGGATTTATCAAGGCAATTTCAAAACAGAACTAATTTTTTGTCAACATTTACCCTACTATCAGTATTGTAGTTTATACTGAAGAGAAACCTGAAATTATTGTTATTTGTCTACATGGTAATAGTTAAAGTTAATGCTTATTCTGTTTTTTACACTGGATGAAATAAATGTAGCTTACTAAAAATATTCTACTTCTTATCTTCTAAAAAACTGAAATTTCTGCTTCAATTAACAACTCACTGGTTACTGAAAATATCTTGGTGCTCCTTAAATCAAATAGTCAGTATATGCCTGAATTAACAACCCAGGTGCTTGTCCATGGCAGTGTTTTTATTCTTCATGCATCTTTACCAAATGAAATGCCCAAAGGTGGGATTTAACCAATTGCATCAGAATCAGTTACTATCCTATTGGGCTTTAGTTCAGAGAGTTTAGTTCAGAGAGCACCAAGGACTCCACAGTTCAACTCTGAGTTACATATACAGGTGGTACTCAACTTATGACCACAATTGAGCCCAAAATTTATGTTGCTAAGCAAGATGAGTTTTGCCACATTTTATGACTTTTTTTTTTTTTTTGGCTACAATTGTTAAGTGAATCACTGTAGCTGTTAAGTGAATAACTGGCTTCCCCATTGATTTTGCTAGTCAGAAGGTTGCAAAAGGTGATCACATGACCCTGGGACATTGCAACTCTCATCAATACATGTCAGTTGCCAAGCAGCCGAATTTTGATCAAGAGGCCATGGAAATACTGCAATGGTTATAAATGTGAAAAAACAGTCACAAGTCACTTTTTTCAGCGCTGTTGTAATTTCAAACGGCCACTAAATGAATGGCTGTAAGTCGAGAGGACTGTGTTCTCTTCTATGGACTTCACTTCATTTCTGATAAGCCTTTTCACTACTTACCAGCCTCAATCACTATGTCAATAAGTCTGTCCAATATTTTTCACCTTCACTCCAATTGCAATGTTTTGATTTACAGCAATGAACAATTTGGTAATATATTAACAATAAAGCATTTCTGAAAGCAAGTGTTTCACAGTGGTCAGACTTGGATCACGTAACATATGTATATTTCTAGAGATCAGTAAGATCAATGCAGGAATAGAGGGAGATTATTGTAATCTGTATCCTATTGATGATTAATTTATAGAACCTTTTAATCCAATTCTTCAGGGAGAATCATAGAATAAGCTCCAATTTGTTTATAATAATAAGTCTTTAGTCACACCACTGTGGAACTTTCTGCCAGCAAGAATTGAGTTCACAAATAAAAACACTTTATTTTGGGTTGGTTTTACGGTAGGTACAAAATAAGACTTTTGACTTGTTCCTTTTTCCGTAAAACAAGAATTGCAAAAACAAGTGATTTTTTTTAAAGAAAAGAACCCAATAAAGCCCTAAGGTCAGGCTCTGAATTGAGACATAAGGCTTCCTGGTTTGTCCAGTCACTCTCACTGTCAGTAGAACCCCAATGGAAGTGCTTGGTAGCATGTTTTTCTAAACGAGACATGGTACAAGTTAACTGTGCCATAAAAATTGTCCATTTGTTAAGAGCATGCTTGAAGTAGCCAGCAGTTATTTCATTCAGCTCATGGTATTCCTGAAGAAAAGGTAAAGATGTCCCCAAGTTAAGCTCAACCTTTAGTGACTACATTTCTCATTTCTTTCTCTTTTTTCACAATATTATACAAGTGGCTCCCCATTTCCTTCTTTCTGGGATTTTATTTTTTAACTTCCCACTGTAGCCAATAGCTTTGGAGTTTTCTGGTAGTTCCTAATCCAATTATTAAGCATGGCTGGTATGTCCCTACCTATGAAAGTTCAGTTGATGTAAAAGCTTAGATTAATAAGGCCTTCAAAAATAACTCTTCTCTAAATACTTTTAATGTAACTGATTTTATACCAAACTCTTTGTCCACTTACTTCTTGCCAGTCCCCCGTTTTCCAATAATAGAATGAACATTCGGCCATTTGACATTCCTGTTCAGAAGCTGGTCTGCTTGACTGACGGCATTCAGTTTCTCTAGCTGTTTTTGAAGCAGTAAACTGGCAGAAGACATTTCTCCGCTGAATTCCTTTCCCACAGGATACTGAACACTGGAGAGATTCAAAAAGTAAGTGTCAAGAACTTTGCCTATGTTTTTAAAATCTCTCTTCATTGAAGAAATGTTCTTAATTCAAAGCTTATCAAGGACTTTAGATCTTAAGACAGACATATGCCATTGTAATTTTTCAGAAAATTTATTATTTCCATATGTAGCGCTCTTATATGGGGCTGATCTGAGGCACCACAAAGCTTGAACAATAAGCTTGAATAAGTTCATTTACTTACACTGAAATTATATTCTCCCATTGGGACACAGACAAATTTATCTTGTATTGATCAAGTATAATGCTAAAATAATAGCTAACTGTTGTATCCACTTTCCATCTGAACAATATATTTGCGCTCATGTTTATAATTTCAAATCATTGCACTGTAGGACAGAATATAGCATAATATATATTTACAACATACATATAAAGTATATAATTGATAGCAATTTGTGCTTTACTGTGCCTAAAATCTCCTGGCAAAGGCAGACTCCTCAATATATTTCATGGTATGGCTGGTCTTTATTTTGAGCCACATAAGTCTATTGTTTCTAGGAAAATACGATGCAAAAAATGTAAGTTTACACATGGAAGCACATTCATTTACTTCTATAAGAATCTAGCATATTCAGTGCATGGCAGGTACCTTTTCTTTTATATTAATTATCATTGTGAAGCCTTAGGTATTATTAGATGAAAACATCTTATCAATTATCCCTGCACTCACTGATAATGAGTATTTAGGTCTAAGGCTTCTCAACAACAGGTTGAATGTATGTGTTGCAGCCTAATGAAGATGTTTACAAGGAAGACAATCTTAATGTCAAATTAGATTTATTTTGGAATGCTTATGCACAATTCTGCAGCCTGACTATAGCAGTGTTTGATATACTTGTTAGAATATTCTCAATTTGATTCTAACTAGGATAATTAAATTTAGTGGGGAATGGCTAAAAGTCAAGAAGATATATAGCTGAATAATAATCTGATGTTTAGCATTTTTGAACTTTAAAGGCCTTGCAATAATGCAAAAATATTAAACAACATCTTATAATTTACATCCCTCCGCTTTGTGAGATATTTGAAACACAAATAACTGGTATAACATTTAGTCATTGGCAGGTAGATTATAAAAGTTCCAGTTAAAGCAGGAACAAGTTTATAAATTAAATAACATCACATCCATACGTTAAACTTTTTAATAACTTTTTTGCATTTGCAATTTGTTATAAATTACTATACAAAGAAAAAGAAATATTCCACAGAAGAGTTTCTTTAGCCTTTGTTGCCCCATAAAATGGATAAACCCAAAAGAACAAGCTGACTGTGGACATTCCTTTGGATTATAAATATTTATGAAAGCCAGTTTTCTAACACTGAAAAGTGGAACACAATATAGTCTCATTTCTATGTTGGCTGATGCAAAAATTTGCCATATGGTACTGTGTTTTCCATTGTGATTAATAATACTGTTTATTTTCTGTATTCCTCATGGGAATACATGGGATAATTTAATCACAGCAAAAGAAATTCACTCTAAAATTGAAAGCTAGCTCATATCTATAGTATTCAAAGATTTAAATCTCGAGAATATATGCGAACATATGAATCTGATACTTGTGTAATTCCCCAACTAATATCATGGGAATACTTGCAAGCTTATTACTTTATAGGGGGAAGTTAGAACATTTCCAGGAGATAAAGAGATTTGATCTGCAAATCATAATTAGTCTAAAAAAAAAGCACCCTTTTTAAAACTTGAAATTAAAAAAAAAAACCTCAGTAAGGCATAACCCCAGCAAAAAACTGGGGTTATGTTTCCCCATTTGTTTTTTTTTTAAAAAAAATACTGAAAATAATATTTTCCCCCATGAAAAATGCTGCTTTGCTGTCCCCAATTTGCTCTTGAGCATTACAGAAATGTGCATTTCCATTTTGGAGTATGCTTACAATCTTAGTTCATTAAAACATGTTTAGGCTTTTATAAAAATTAAACATTTTTCTGATGTCTTAAAGTTCAAATTGAGTAATTTCTTGGTATTTTACTCTCCCCCTCCAAATAAATGCAGGCATAGACTGCCTTTTTTATTTGTGTAAGCTGAAGAAGGTATGAAAGAAGTAAGAGCAGAGGTTTGGTTCACTGGTTTTTTAAAAGCCAAAAAGAAGTATTGGGAATATGTGAGTACAAAGATTGTCATTTTTTTAAAAAATATATTCTGAAAATGACAAAACATTCAAATAACCAATGAATGAACTGTAACAGCAGAGACTGTTTTGCATCTTCATTGTATCTGCTGAGGAGGGATAGAAGTCCTAATACAACCCTGAGCTTAGATTATGCAGAAATGAATTGGTATTTAAATAGGTTTTGGAACAGAAGTCTCTTTTCTGGATTGAAGCTTGATTTATAGAAAGAGTTTGAGTGTTTTATCATAATGTAGGTAACAGTGCAGATATTAATGGGTATCCAAGAGAGCAACAAATGATCAGCTTTGAAAATGGCTTTGCTAACATGACCGCATGTAAGAGTTACTCAGAGTAAGCCAAATGCAAGAAATGTTGGTGATGGGCTTACAGCTAGTAATTCAGAGACCAAAGAAACATTGGGTACAGCTAGTGAATTTCATCTGAAGATAATAGCAAAATTATCAGCCATCACTTTACTACTTATTATGGAATAAGATTTTAAGAACTATTCTGCTGGTTCAGACCAATGTTGTATGCAGCCTTACCCACTTACCAATTTAGATGCCTATGGGAAGTTACAATCAGCAATAATAACCAGGACCATGCTAATGCTCTGATCGAGCTGTTTTAGAACATTTTGGAATGGAAATCATTTCTAATAATTAGGTCAACCACCTCTTTCCCCCCAATTGGTATGGCTCCTCCTTCATTGGGGGGGAAATTAGGTTAGAAGTCACATTGGGAGCAATTGGTATGAGCCTCATCCCCCACTCCAGTTGGGCAAATGGATTCTTGCTTTCGGCATCTATGTCTGCAGTTGCTTGCTTTCACTATTTTTCATCTCCAATCCTTTGTGGTTTTCAACAGGATTGTCTGTTTAATGTAAGGACATCTCCCCCACAAGCAATTTGAGGTACTTAATTGGGGAAAACGCTCCTACTTATGGATGGGTAAATACCAGGGGTGAAATCCAGCAGGTTCTGACAGGTTTTGGAGAACTGGTAGCAGAAATTTTGAGCAGTTCGGAGAACCAGTAGGGAAATTTTGAGTAGTTCGGAGAACTGGCAAATACCATCTCTGGCTGGCCCCGGAGTGGGGTGGGAATGGAGATTTTGCAATATCCTTCCTCCAGGAGTGGGGAGGAAATGGGGATTTTACAGTATCTTACCCCTGGAGTGGGGAGGGAATGGGGATTTTGCAGTATCCTTCCCCTGGAGTGGGGAGGGAATGGAGATTTTGCAATATCCTTCCCCCAGGAGTGGGAAGGGAATGGAGATTTTGCAGTATCCTTCCCCTGCCACGCCCACCAAGCTATGCCCACAGAACCGGTAGTAAAAAAAAAATTGGATTTCACCACTGGTAAATACTGTAGTCTTTTTATAGGCATTTTTCTCCCACAGCTTTTGCTGTAAATTTAAAAGTGAACCATAAAATTTCATGCCTCTCTCCTTCCTTCCTTCCTTCTTTCAGTCCCTTGGATTAAATTTCAAGCCTCTGCTATGTTATCTCTGTGTTATCTTATACCTAAGCTTCTTGACTTTTAGGACTTTCTGTTGCTTTTACATTCCTTTTAAATGACCAGTTCTCTGTGACGCCTGAAGAACTAGGATTTGGAAATGCTACAGGAGGAGTATATTGCAGCAGCTAATAAAAATATTTTTTTTTCCCAACATCGGCATCTAGCACTAAGAGGCGTCACATTCTAAGAAGCATTATTTCAGCCTCCTTATGGTCTGATTTTCCAACAGTTCAGCTAGACAAAATGTGCCACTGCGATTGTGCCGTAATGAATAGTATCTTTTTCTAGACTGACTCTATAATGGCAGAATCTCAAGTTCCCCCATGGGTGGCCATAAACACATTTTGTAAATTTTTCTAAAAAAAATTAGTGCTGCAGCTTTATAGCCAGATGACCAGATGGCTTAAATTGATATCACTTACAATATAAAGGTGACAGACACTTCTATTTATAATGTCTGAAAAATATAGCCTCCTGGCTAGGCCTGATAAGCTTATACTTGAAATAACCATTAGCATTCAGATTATATACAATCTTACACTCAGTTAGGCATGCTTACCCCCACTAGTGTCAATGGGGGTAAACATATGCAACTGGGCGCAGCACTGCAATCATAAATCTTTTAATTGCCACATCACAATACATTATCATAACCTATAAATCATGCTGTAGACTTGCTAATTTGTGTTTCTATCCAAAATGGACCCAATCATTTTGGATAATGGTTAAACAATTTAAAATGTCTATTTTTATATTTCTTCATGCCTTTGACAGACTGTTATGCATTCTCCAGTATGCGTTTATTAACTTCCAAATTGTTTAACTTATGAGTTTGATAACTAGAGGCAGCTATTTTGTTAAGGAGACCCAATAAAATATATTCAGCTTTTCAAATTTGCTCCCAATTATGATAGGTGACCTGATTAACATTTGGTACAGATGGACAAATACTGGGGGTTTAACTAGGGGACCCAGATCTTCTTCTTTTCCTTATGCTTCTCCTCACTCTAGCTGGCGTCAGGGCTACTTTCCTTTCCTTGATATGTTTAAAATATTATATTCAGAATATGATGTGGAAAGAAAAAAGACCATTGGTTGATTTATCCACTGCTTCTCCTTGTAGCACCCATCTATCTTCTACCCATTTACTCTCTATGCTTACTAATTCAACTGAATCTTTGGGTGGAACTTTTGTCTTTCAGGATGCTTACCCATCCTCAATTCCTCCCCTTCCCTCTTTTCTTTCTTTCTTTCTTTCTTTCTTTCTTTCTTTCTTTCTTTCTTTTTTCTTTCTTTCTTTCTTTCTTTCTTTCTTTCTTTCTTTCTTTCTTTCTTTCCTTCCTTCCCTCCCTCCCATCCATCCACCTTCAGAAATCCTCCCATTAGTTAAGCTCTCGATGTAATCTTCCACAATTTGCTTCCCACCCACATATGGGTTTCTAGGCCTTCAACTCCCAGAAATTCCCACTAAAATGCACATTGCTGGGAATTCTGAGTGTTATAATCCATATGTACAGAGGGTAAAGATCAAGATGCTCAAGGTCCTGGATAAAGGAATAGTAATCCCCCAGTTTTTAATCTGACCAAAGAATAATATTACTAAATCGAAGGCATTTTTGTCATGTTCTTATTATTTACTCAGGGGTAGTCACATAGGACCAGAACGTAACCGTATTTCTAATCACTTGCTTTATGTTTTATGTTTGCATGTTCTTCGCTGTTCTCCCTCTTTCTTTCTAGGTAATTTCATTTTTATTCTTTTCTTTCCTGTTTGCCATCTAGCCACTAGCAAGAAGGGAAAGTTAGGGCCAGGTATTCTGCTATTTCAGGCTCCTTGACCCACCTCACAGTTGCCTAGCAACATCAGGCACTGGTCCCTCCCATTCTTTTCTATTTATAAAAGGATGGTACATTATAACAAGCCTTTTCCGTGAATTACTAAGCGGAATAGTTACAGCACAGACAAAACCAGAGGTCTGGCATATGAGGCAATCTCTGGACTGCATTAGCAGAAATAATGTTCCTCCATGTAGGCTCTCTGCCCTTTCTTCAGCTTACACTCAGAGGCTCAGATCTCTCTTTTCAATAAATGATGCTGTAGCCTTAAAGCTAGAGATTCCAAGGAAGGTTGTGAAGAATGTACGTGTGCAGGGAAGATGATTATCCATGCAGTTTTATATTATACAATAGATTCTCCATTTTAGTAGCCAGTTTAAATTTAGTGGGTGTGCCTATATGTATTCAATAGGAAGATGAGAATTCCACCTCCCCCAAAAATAATTATTAGCAGATTGGGCAGGATAGTCATTTTACATTCTCTGAGAACAGACAATGTTAGTAAAAATGAGCTTAGCCTCACTGCTTATCTGGTAACTCCTAATCCTTTTTGCAATTCCTCAAAAGGATTATGGGGTTTTTCCCCATCAGAAATTAACCCTCTGCTTGTGGAGGGGAACAAGAGACCCAAGGACAAAGCAGCTTAGTACCAGGGTGGGTTCTACTTACCTTTACTACTGGTTTGCAACGGGACCACACAGACACTCTTGTGTGCATGCGCAGAAGCATTCTGATGACTTTGGGGTTGGTGGGATGAGCCTCCCGCCGGTTTTACTACCGGTTCTATAGAACCGGTGCGAACCGGGGGCAACCCGCTGCTGCTTAGTACCCAAGGATCTCTTCTCTCCCCTATGTAACCTCTGATTAAATAAAACATGTTCACTTCTATTGAATATAAAGCATACAGCAGATTTATGTTCAGATGTTTACAGACTGTAGGTGTGAAAAGATATATATGTGAGGGGTCAATTAAACTGACCTAACAGATGCCTTATTTTATAAGTAATTAATTTTAACCAGCATTTGTTAATCCAGTTAATTTTGACTTGATTATACTCTTTTTAGTGGAAGAGAGTTTGGCTTATGCTGGTGTGCACACACCCAAATGTTTTATCTGTACATACTTATACTAATGAGCATATACTGTACATATAAAGTAGGTGAGATACACACATTTAGTGGGGAAATACAGAATTGGTTTGTTTAAGAGTTAAAAATCCTAACTGGCCAGAGAGAGAGAGAGAGAGAGAGGAAGGGAGAGGAAGGGAGTGAGGGAGAAAAGAAACCTGGCAGCACAGAGAAAAATTATTTGTGGTGATAAGTACTTGTTAACCCTCCTGGTTTAGAAGTAGGGGACACTTTCTCAAATTAGGGTTGTCTTCCTTTAGTACATCTGAATAGACATGTGGAATATAATGACAGATAAATTAAAAGATCCAGGTTCTGTGTCATACAACAAGAGAAGCAGTGGAGGAAATACTGAAGCTAACACAAGATCACTTTCCTTTTGGTACTTCATCTCAGTCTGATGGGTGAGCCCAACCCTCCATCTATAAAATGGTTGGGCTGAAGGGGGAGGGGGCTTATCGATTCAGAAATAGAAAGAGAGGAACTTAGTATTGAGTCCATACTGTCTCGGTCTACATATGTCTATGTGTTTGGTATTGATATAGAAGCAAAGCTACCTAAGAACAGTTTCTTTCAAATGAATAACAAATGTTCAACAAGTTTCTTGCAAGTACCAGTTTCTTGTAGAGCACATGGGAAGTTCAGTTATCTGTGAGAGCATAAAGGATATACTCCTAAGTATTTTCAGTATACATATGCAAAGAAGGTACACATGCTTTTCAGTCTTATGCAAATATGACCAAGAGTTACTATGTAAACACCTTACCTGTCCCCAGTCTCCTGATTTCCATTTTGGGCACCTGCCACCTCTACACTTCCTCAGCACATTTGGTTTAGCCAGTTGTGTACAAAGACTGTTTTCTAAAAGTTTCCCATCCTTCGACATGCAATATACTTCTCGGTACTTCTGTCCTCGTCCACAAGTAACAGAACACTGAAAAGAAAAGACGGATGCTAATGTACCTTACACACTTGTCTTAAATGCTTACATATATTTCTTAAAATACAGCATTTTAAGAGAAAGGAAAAGCACGCACCAGCAGTTATAAGCTTGGCATCCCCCCGTTTACTACACTTCTCTTTTTCAGTTTCTGGAACTCTTCGAGATGATGTCACCAATCTCTCAAAATAACGTGTTCAATTTTTTCTTTTAGGCTGAAATAATTGTTTGCTGTTGCTTGCTAATTACACATATGTGTAACCAGAAGGGGCTTGGGATTTTATGTACTTTTTGTAGCCAGTTCCAAAGATGAGAAAACAGACGCAATGGGACATTATGAGCCAAGCAAAAAGCACAGCATGAGTATATTGGCTGCAAGCTTTGTAGTAAAACAGTGACATTCAACCTCCTTCTGCTGGTTCATTGAACTTTTACAAATGTGACCACTTCTGGCATATGGGCCCCTGAACCATTTTGATTTTAGATTAGTATCTATCAAAAGATTTAGGAATCAAAAGGAATCTAAAGGCAGAGCAGGAATTTAATATGACAGTTCCTTGCTCAGTGGGCCTCTTACACAGCATGATGCAAGAATATTCATTTTTCATTCCTTCATTACATGTTAAACAAGTCATTATGTGTTATTTCACACACAGTGCCTGTTTAATCCTGAATCCTATACACAAATACGTTTTCTTGTGATCTCTCAAAGTAATGATCTCCTGTTTTCTTTCCAGAATGGAGTCAATACAAGAAGAGGCAGCTCACTAACACCTAGCAGGTTCTTGGCTTGGTTGACAGAGATGATAATCAGTGCAAGGGCTTAAATGGCAGGTTTTTTTTAAAAAAAATCTGATTTAAGGTAACTGTAATAGCAAGAGCTGGAAAGTATTTATTTTATTATTAATTGCATAACCACCACCTTTTATGTTTACAGTGTCCTTACTGCTTTCACGAAACACTGGCAATGTACTCTTCTTCCAGTATATACTACTGTTATAGGGTATCCAGCCAAATTGCATGATAAAATCTGTCTGTGACTTACAACTAGCCATTCTGAGAGCTTGGAAGAAAAGGTCTCTCTGTTTGTCCTTGTTACTGGCCAAATTAAGTCAGTAATTATGACTTGGATGCTGAATGTTATTAGGTTCTACTGTGCTAGCTAGAGGGAAAGCAAAACATCTAAAACTTTCAGGGCATTATAAAAATATAAGATCCGCAGTTATAATTAGGAAAGCCTTATGTTAAGCTTTCTAAATATTGCTAGAGGGTATAGTTTTATATTTGAAAGGTAACATAAATCAGTGCAAGCATTACTTAACATTTCTATATTCAATTGTTGAATTGCTGGACCTCTATTTTATTTACAGATAGTCCTTGACTTATGACCAATTGCATAGCAACCATTTCCAGTTATAACAGACACCCCAAAAGCCACTTACAACCAGTGGTAGGATTCAGCCAGTTCGCACCACTTCAGGAGAACCGGTTGTTAACTTTCTGAGCAGTTTGGCAAACTGGCTGTTGGAAGAAATCATTGGGGCAGAGAACCGGTTGTTAAATTACTTGAACCCCATCACTGCTTACAACCTGGATTCGAAGTTCCATTTTGGAGAAGTTCAAGTCTGCATTTATGGACGCTCAGAAACTACCCCACATTTATGGCCCTTTGCAGAGCCCTGCAGTCCTGTGATCATGATTTACAATGTTTACTTACAGTTTCTGGCAAAAAAAAAAAAAAGCCCCATAGTGAACAATGGGTTTGCTTAATGACTGTGGTAGTCTCTTAGTAATTGTAACATTTGCTTAACGACCAACACAGAAAAGGTGGTAAAATCGGGTCTGGCTAATGACGACTGACCTAGTTTACAACTGTCACAACCTATGATCAAAATTGTGGGCTCAATTACAGTGGTAAGTCTAGGACCATGATGGCGAACCTATGGCATGCGTGCCAGAGGTGGCACACAAGCCCTCTCTGTGGGCACGCGTGCCGTCACCAGCTGCTCTTCTGGTTTTCGGCATGCCAGCTGGTCTTCGTGGGCACTGGAGCACTGGAAAATGGCTTGAAAATGGCCCCCAAAATGCCCCCAAACCCAGGCCATTTTCCAGGCTGTTTTCCGGGCCTTTTCCAGGCCGTTTTTGGCCCCGAAAATGTCCGAAAAATGGCCTGAAAATGGCCCCAAAATGGCCAAAACCCAAGCCATTTTCTGGGCTCTTTTCCAGGCCTTTTCCAAGCAGTTTTTGGCTCTGAAAATGTTTGAAAAGCAGCCTGAAAATGGCCCAAAAAGTGACCCAGAAAACGGCCAAAAAACAGGCATGCGTATGCCAGCCAGCTGATCATTGGGTTTCCAGCACTCCGGCACACACATATGCATGTGCATGCACACACAGTCTGGTTTGGACACTTGGTGCCGAAAAAGTTCGCCATCACTGGTCTAGGACTTACCTGTATTTGAAAAGTTGATATGTTGCCTACTACTTTTATGGCCTCCAAACTAAGATAATAAAATAGTCATTAAAAAGTATTCAAAGATATAATGAATAAAAATATAAAAACTGAAACATAAGCCAAAAAAATCTAAGCCTATAGGACAGACTGCTTTAATTCCAGTGGCAGTTTGTTTCATAGCATGAGTTGGGCAGTGGGAAAATAAACTCAAATTCAATTTGAATGTTAAAAGCATCCATGATGGGACCACAAAAGAACTGTCCCATTTATGAACCAAGAGTAGGGGAAGGAGTATACAGGCGGCAATTGAATCTTAGCCATGTAAGGCTTTAAACACATTGATGTGAGGTGGGAAAGCCATCCATGAATGTGTTTTAGTACCAGGATAATGAGAAATATCAGTCACTGCCTGTAATTTGGCATCTTGGGTCTACTGGCATTTTCAGATTATTTTCAAAGGCTGTTCCATAAAGACTACAGTACATTGCAATAATTGAAACTTTAGCTTACCAGCTCATGAATCACCAAAGCATAAAGTCAAAGCCTATAAAAAGTTGCCTTACCATCAGTGATACATAGTTGTCCAACATCAGTGCTAAATCCAAGAAGATCAAAACATTATTTGTGCCTCTAGCCCTGAGTAGTGTGTTTCAGAGTAGGATTCAGGGATATGCAATGTCTCTTTTTATTTCAAGCAATCTTTTCAGATACTAGATTTTTTTTTAAGTATAAAGGTAAAGGTTCCCTTCGCACATATGTGCTAGTCGTTCCCGACTCTAGGGGGCGGTGCTCATCTCCGTTTCAAAGCCAAAGAGCCAGCGCTGTCCAAAGACGTCGCCGTAGTCTTGTGGCCAGCATGACTAAACGCCAAAGGTGCACGGAATGCTGTTACCTTCCCACCAAAGGTGGTCCCTGTTTTTCTACTTGCATTTTTTACGTGCTTTCAAACTGCTAGGTTGGCAGAAGCTGGGGCAAGTAACGGGAACTCACCCCGTTACGCGGCACTAGGGATTCGAACCGCTGAACTGCCGACCTTTCGATCGACAAGCTCAGCATCTTAGCCACTGAGCCATCGCATCTCCCCCCCCTTTTTTTAATATATTGGAGATTTATTGAAAATACTTATATGGCTGCCCATCTTAAGAGATACAACCCTGGGTGGCTCCCAACAACAGTACTCCCCCCACCCCAAAAAAAAACCCTGGGAAGAAAAACAATAAAAAAAAAGGACAAGCAAAAACCTGGAGTTTCAGCCTCTGATGCATTCAACATCACCACATCTGGCTCCTCCCTCACCCTATGCCAGTGTTTTGGGAGAAGAGATAGCTCTTTTGGCCTTATGGAAAGAGTAGGGTTTGCCCAATATGGGGCAGGATGTTCCACAGGGCAAGAGCTGCTACAGAAAAGACACACTTCCTAGGTTCCACACTAGATGGCAGTATTTAAAGGAAGAGACTGAATCCTTTGATCAACATATTGCTAATAAATGTGGAAACTAGTAAAGTGATCAGGCAGGAGCTGTACCTGCAGTTCTCTCCCCTAAAGGGAGTTGTCCATTATGAACCCATGAATGACAGTGCATTGATACAATAAAGAAAGAGAAGTATAATCTTCTACCATTTCCATGTTGTGGGCTCAAACATGAGCTTTTACCCATATTTGTACCCTTGCCTGGACAACTTCATTTTCCTCCACTAGCCCAGCAAATATCACTTTGTGATCAGGGAGCCATCCTAGATCAGCCAACTGATTAGTTTAAGGAGAATAATGTCAAGCGTCTATTGCTTCTTGTTCCCAGTGAGCAACTAGACCAGGGGTCAGCAATCTGCAGCTCTGGAGCCGCATGTGGCTCTTTCATCCCTCAGCTGCGGCTCCCTGTCACTCAAAATATATGTTACAACCGCCAATGTGCAATACCTGCTGGCATGCGATTCATTGAGCTTTTCGACCCCCATAGGCCAACAATGGATAAATCCAAGAAAAGAAAAGTTTCAGAAGAAAACAGAATGTTTAATACAGCTACATATGCTAGTTTTGTGGTTGCTCAGGAAATAGTCAGCACAGGAAGGGTTTTGTGGCTCCCGGTATTTTGTTTTCTGTTGGAAACAGGTCCAAATGGCTCTTTGAGTGTTTATGGTTGCTGACCCCTCAACTAGACAGAAGTGCTTGTTGGATAACGATGAAATTCCCTAAGCACTCCCCAGAATCCCCAATAGAGAAAACACTAATTGTGCAGTCCTTGTCAGATGTCTTAATAATTAAAAAGTATATACAAATAACAAACCAAGAGAGTAACTTGGATAATTTTCCTATATTGGATGGACAAGAGGCTTGTTAGAGTTTTGAAGATTTTTTTGAGAAATGAAATCAAGTTCTACAATGTTATTTGAAGGGATTAAAGATTAAGATTGTTAGAAAAAAAGGAAGGAACATAAAGCTGGTTTATTGGATCAAGGTTAAAACAGGAAACACTGGTAACTCTTAGTAGATTTTTGCAGATATCAGAACAGAAATTTCATGGATTTGTTACATATAAGAGATGAGATATGGGAAAAAGAGATCATTTGTTGCATTTTAAGGGAAGATAATAAGTTACTAAAACTGTTTACGCTTGTGATGTAGGGTGAGGTCACTTTTCTTTTTCTTTATTATATTATATTTATTATATTTTTCTTCATTATTTATCTACTTTTCGCTTTTCTTTTTTGTTTTATTCACCTTTTACATTTTATTTTTGTTTTAGTTTGCATTAGTTTATATTGTTGTAATTGTAATCTTTAATAAAAGTACTATTTAAAAAAACCCAACATTATTCAGACCGGCACAAATCCACTGCAGCCGCCTGGAACACCAGAAAAAGGAAACAAATTGCCAATACAACATAGTCCAACAAAATAGATACCCATGAAACTTTATCAAGAAGTTCCTGTTCACTCAGTCCACTATAGCACAACCAGTACAAACTATGAAAAGGATAACATCAACGATCATCAGTTTGAAACAATTAACAGTACAACTTACAACTACACTAAATCACCATAGCACACAAAACAACTAAAGCCCTCTAAAACATCTTAAGCAAGCCAAAAACCCAGCAGCCCAAGAAGGAAAAAAAGAGAAGTCATCTACAATATATAGTGTAAGGACTGTAACAATCACTATGTAGGACAGACATGCAAATGGCAAGAAGAATGCATCCACAATCATCAACTACAGTCAGAAGACATGATGAAAACTCTTCAATCTCACAACACACAAACAGACTCAACCAACGTTTCAACTGGGTTAGACCAAGAAAATCCCAAACTGCTAGGATTGAAATTCACTGAAGCTTGAAATTCACACAAAAGAACCACTAACAGACCTAGAGAGATAAACCATATTTACACATCATTCACCAGAGGGGGAAAAAAAATCTAAGAAGGAAAGAGAAAGACCAGAACACATCTTCTCCAGCAGCCAACACCACAACAAACAGGTATTAACATCAGCAAACAATCAAGCAAAAAGCAATACTCAAAGCAAAGAACTACCAAGGAGAAAATCATTCCACTATCAAAACTGGCAGGGCAAGCTAATATAAACAGGAAGTTAAATCCCACACTCACTAGCACTGATAATATCACATGGTTGGCTAATGAAATATCTGCAAACAATCAATCTTAGACAACACCAAGGATTCCAAATTTCGAGTCTGAACTATGTACACTATCTTATATTGAACTGGAATTGGCCTGTTTACCACCTGAGATCATTGGTGATAATTAATCTTACCTAGATTAGAAAGTGATCCAGACTGTCTCCATATCAAGATAATTATACAATAGCTCAAGCTGCCTTCATGTGTTAGACCAATATCTACTTTTGATACTTTACTATAGAAACTACAAACTCCTGAAGCACCATCATGATCCAATCTCCAAAGCATGAAGATTCAAATCAAGCAGAAATAATATTTAAAAGACTCCAAAGCCAGTCCAGAGAACAGATCATACTATATGTGTAGAGATCTTGCTGAGAGGGTGAGTGGCAAATATGTCAGCAGGGTTTGTCCCAATGGCTCGATAACGTATAGACATTCATAACTAGTCACTTATGGAGCAGTGCTCCTGATCATAAAGCAAGTGTCTATTTAAGATCAACAGATCCTGGCCTTGGGACTAAGGCTTTTGAAGGACTAAAAATCCTGGAGGGCAGGTCTCCAAAGATTTGACTCCTTGCCCAATAAGATCTTAGTAATTCCAGTCCCCATGTTTATCCATTGCCAAATTGTGGATAAAAATGTCTTATTACTGGAATCCTGTTATGAGCTACCGGCACAAAAGTGAGGTGAACATTAGACTGGATTTCCCTTTCTCTTTTAGAGCAAACCTGTTGCCTCCTTCCATATTTTCTCCAGTCCATACAACTGAGATACAATTGAGCACAACTCCTATGAACTCCAGGCTTCTAACATACTCACCCTGCTTCAGACTAATTATTTTTAATCAACCTCATTACCCCACAGGCCTACAATTTAATAGAGCCACTCATGTTGCCAGTTCCAGACAAACTTTCACTCACAGTTCCTTCTATTATCCCAACACTGAGTACATCAACAGGGATTCTCCCACTAGTGAATCAGGCTGAGGCTCCCCCTTACCTTTTCTCTTAATTTATGTGAAGGCCAAGGTTTTCCCACCCTATTTGGCTGACTGTGAACCAAGCTTATTGGAACATAATCGGTAGGTTAAACCTACATGAGGGCTTCTCACATTACCAGATCCACCTGACCCAATTCTGAGTTTTCAAGGGTCAGGCCCATCCCAGCTCAACAGTGTCACCCTACTTTTGATATGCTGTCTCCAAAGCACATTGTCAGCAACACCCTTCCATGGTCTTCCAGGAACTATCCAGGCCAGGGGAAGCCAGTGGTTTCTACTCCTGGCATCTACTTTTCTATTCACAACTCTAATTACAATGGTAATTGCCCCTTTATTTCAATGGCCTCCTGCAGCTGCAGCTTTGGCAGATGATATAACTCCAATCCCATGTGTCACCATCATGCCGTGCAAACAAGATTAAACAGCTGAATCTGTTGGGATGATTCAAAACACTTTTTGCTTTGATATAGCATCTTTGTCCAGATTTCAAAAACCTTCATCCTCCTTTCTTCAATCCTCTATGTCTGCTCCATAAACCATCCACAGTCTTCAGTCTATCTTAATCTGATTCTTCTATTCAGTTCTAGGAAACCAGATAAGGCCTTTTCATAAAATGTTTTTTATCCCATTTTAAAAAAAAGTATACATTTCAAGGCGGCAAACATACCAATATTCCCCCCTCTTCCTATTTTCCCCATAACAATAACCCTGTGAAGGTGAGTTGGGCTGAGAAAGAGAATGGTTGGCTAGAATGCTGTCTCTTGGTCTCTAGGCCACATCTTCCTGGATCAATATTTTGAAATACATATCCCACAACAATCCTTCCAGAAAGCTGCCACTATTAGATGCTATCTTGAAAAGAAATGAAAAAGGAAAGAAACGGGAAGGCAAGACAAAACAAAACATTATTGTAATTCTGTTCAATGATAGCTTTACATGATGGAAGCTTTATTAATTTATTTATTAAACGTATTTTATGTCATTGCAATCATCATCAACACAATCCTTTCTTGAGCAAGAAAACACTACATAGAAATATATATATATATTGAGAGCTAAATGTCTATGAAGATTCTCAGTCATCCAGGTTATGGTTGTTGCAAAGGTGCTTTTTCAAAAGATAACTGGACTGTCTTTGTTTTTCCCTTGAAGACATTTCACTTCTTATCCAAGAAGCTTCTTCAGTTCTAACAGTTAGTACTTAAGAAGCTTCTTGGATGAGAAGCAAAATGTCTTTAAGGAAAAACAAAGAAAGCCCAGCTGCCTTTTGAAAAAGCATCCTTGGGACATATATTGAAAATTAAAGATAGGAATAATAAGTAGGGAACAAAATAAATGCAACAAAATAAATAAATATTGGCAATTCACATATACCAAATTGATCTTGGTGTAGCAGAACGTACCAAACATATTTGAAGGATTGGTAGAATTTAGAAACACCTTGTGATTTACAAATGTCTTACTTAATGATCTCTGAATTTGAGATTCTCAATTAAATTAGGAAAGCACTTTGTTGAACTCTTCTTTGAGTTGACTAGAATTTATGCTTCAAAATTAGCCATCGATTTTAATGCTGTTCAAAAACTAATCAATCAAAATGGCAAAACTAACCACATTGAATTGGCTGAAACACAATTTGGACTCAATTATGTAACTTACATGGTCATTAAAATCTCAACAATTAATACCTTACTTTTATTATATTGATGAAAAGCAAAATAGAATGAGCAACAGTAGACGATCCTAAGTCAACTCTTCTACCACTGAAATGGTTTAGATTTTCATAAATCTTATTAAAATAGTTATTCTAAGCAACACCAGGAATATCGCTACAGCTAAAGCAATGTTCTGCATTAAGTAACATTTCGTGTACATGTGTGTCTTTGAGTCCATCTTGACTCTTGGCAACTGCCTTGACAAGTTTGCGTGGCAGCATTTTAGCAAGTGGTTTGCTAAGACTTTTTCCTTAGGGCTGAGAGAGAATGATGGGTTCAAAGACTCCCAGCTGTCTCTGTAGCTTAGACAATACTAGAATGCACAGTCTCCTGCTTTCTAGCTTGGTGCCTTAACCTCTACCCCAAATTGACTCTCGTTAATTAAAGAGAATATGAAAATTCTGGGTATCAATGTATGTTTATCGAACCATTTATTTATATTGCATACATATGTATGCATTAAGGAATTATTGACTTTTTGGACAAAATTTGCAATATTTGTCTTTGTTTTTTTGTCCCACGTTAGGTATGGAAGACACTGATGGTGAATAGATAAACAGAAGAATCCAAGCCAAAATATATGAGACTACATTGAAAGTATTCACAATGGAAGATTGAGTCTTATTTGAGATAACTTCTACTTTTTAGTATTAAAATAAACGGGTATATTTTTTATAGTAATACAGACTAGTGAATGATCTAAAACAGTGGTGAAATCCAATTTTTTTTACTACCGGTTCTGTGGGCGTGGCTTGGTGGGCGTGGTGTGGCTTGGTGGGCATGGCAGGGGAAGGATATTGCAAAATCTCCATTCCCACCCCACTCTGGGGCCAGCCAGAGGTGGTATTTGCCGGTTCTCCAAACTACTCAAAATTTCTGCTACTGTTTCTCCAAACTGCTCAAATTTTCCACTACCGGTTCTCCAGAACTTGTCAGAACCTGCTGGATTTCACCCCTGATCTAAAATTATGTAAGATTCAGGTCTAAATGGGCAAAGATTTTTTGGTTCTACCAAGGACTTCCTTCTTATATCTGATAACTTTTCCTTAATAGAACCATACTTTCTCCTGGGTTTATATGGCAAATTGCTGGGCACAGATTGGGCAGAGATGGCTGAATGTGGGCAGTATCAAGGGTGTCCTGAAGGAGTTATTACTTCTTTTCTCAAGTACAAATTTTTCTAAGTCCACACAGGTACTGTACGAACCTTGGAAAATACACAGCCCTTTCAACAAGGAACTGAGAGTTACTAAGTGGGTCCCAACATCAATTTCAAATACTTTCCCTTCTTTGAATGTGAACAGTGGGAGACTGTTATGGGATCTAGAACATGATTCGCTAACAGGTTCATTTGATTAGGCAATTGAATACAAGTCTCATTTCTACAGAAATCATTGGGTTATGATTTATGAATGATAATTATGTCAAATTAAAGTATGAATACTGGCATTCTTGGACTTAAATTGAAGTTCAAACATTTCATAATCAAGCAACTGAATCCAGGCTGATTTATCTATTATTTAAGGTTCCATAACCTTAAATGTTATTCGACACAATTTCTTACTGATCCATAATATAGATTATTTCAGGGTAGAAGGAGGCCTCGCTTGAGTATTCCTTATTGAGTGCTACGTGGAGACCAGGATATTTAAAGTTTCCTTTTCTTGATGGTGGGAAATGCTAAGCAACATGAAACAGGTTTTTAGACAGCTATTGATCTCATGATTCTGCTTTATACTGGAAATGGATAAAAGAACTGTACACTGATGAAAGGAGAAGGTATCAACATAACTCTTAGAAAAATATATAAATTGGGTTATGTTTTATGCATATTTATGCATTACTTTCCTAGATGTTAATTAAAGCAGATTAGTTATAGCCAATATGTTTCTATAGATACATTCAGGATCTGGATTTAACAAATGATTGCTGTAACCTGTGCGCATTTATGACCTTGGGCAAATTAGTATAATCCTCAAATCTCAACTCCTATCACGCATTAATTCTGGTATCACATCATTCTCAAATATTAATATCATTGTTTAATTATTTGCATTGAAAGTACGGATAAACAGATAAAAATGATACAGTACTTTTCACATAGTGAATATAAATTAAGACCATCATCAGCATGGCTTCTTGATTTACACTGAAATTATGGGCTTGGTTTTTGATAAACTGAAAAAGCTGAAGAAGTCTTTTGATTTTACTTGCTAATTCTTATAGGCTGTCAAGTCTTTTAAAATTTAGAGAAGTTAATCAGCCAGCAGTGCAATCATATGCATGTCTTCTCAGAGGTTATCTCAGTTTAGCTCAATAAATTCACTCCCGAGTAAGACTGTACAAAATTGTACGCTAAAACATTGTAACAAAGAAATTAGGTACAGTATAAGGGCCAGCAGATGAAAATATTGTCTAATAATATCAATAAAGAAGAATATTTGTAGCTCAGGGTTGAAATGAGGAGTCCTTGGTACTCTGAGCTTGGTTTTTTTTTCTTGTAGATGTTTGGATAATGAAACATCTGCAAGAAAACAAGCTCAGAGAGCATCAAGGGCCCCTCATTTCCTAAAATATTTTACTGCTGATCAGTTTTAATCTACACACCTCTAGAAGAAGCTACCAAAGTAAATTTGCCATGCATGGAACAGCCTTGATGCCCATACACCAAAGCAAATTCCAGAAATGTTCCCACACTTTGGCTAATTTTGTACGAGATCTTGTGAAATTTGGTGGCACACCAAATTGCTGGGTTGTGTTAAGAATAAATAACCAATGTACAATAATTAATCCACAGGGTTATAAAGACATAAATAATTATTAAATTATTTTAATTTAAAATTTAATTATTAAAATAATGCATATACACATGACCCGTAGGAGGAAATCTGTATCAGAGGATTCATGGTTTATGCAATGTTAGAAAGGAAGATCCCCTCCATTATCATGGTGAGCACCCTGTCTTAATTCAGGCTATATTGTAAAATCTATTTTGATATATATTAAATTTTGCTAGTTTTACACTAAATTATTCTTCTTTCATGAAGTCTCAAAGATGCTGTACTGTTTCTTTGAGGAATACATTTCGCTTCTCATCCAAGAAGCTTCATCCTGTTCTAGCAGGATGGTGGGGTGGGCAGGATGGTGGACTTCCTCAAATAAGTTGCCTTTTGAAAAAGCACCTTTGAGATAACTATGACCTGGATGACTGAGAATCTCCACAGACATTCCTGCATGAAGGTTATTCACTTATCAGTCCTGTGGACCCTCATGACAGCTGGAAATAAGGTAAGAGGTTCAGTAATTCTTATTTATGTATGTGTTTCACCTTTATTTTGATTATCAGGAAAAACACTCAAGGATCTAATTTTACAAATGTGAGGGTAAATGATCACAACACATTTTTAAATTTGCTATTTTTTCTTGACCTCCACTTAATTGACTCAGCCTTCCATCCTTCCGAGGTGGGTAAAATGAGGATCCAGATTGTGGAGGCAATATGCTGACTCTGTAAACCACTTACAAAGGGCTGTAAAGCCCACTTAAAGAGGGCTTTGTAGCATTATGAAGCTGTATATAAGTCTAAGTGCTATTGCTAGTTTTGGCAATTTGCACTATTTTAGGTATCCCCTCCCAGTTACTTCCAGTTCACTTAGGGACAGCCAATTACTGCTACATTCCATGTCAGAAGAGTTACCTGTGAAATGATTCTTTGGGTGCTGATCAGTGGTATGAAACAGAGAATTTGGACATTTATCAGTATAAACTTTGCAGGGAGTTCTTTAGATTAGGAAGTTAATATAACACGATCCTTAGTCTTGCTGACATAATCAGGATGGCTAAATTTATTTTTATGTTATTAGTATCCTTTCCATGTTAACACAATATAGAGATAAAGACTCGTTTCTTTTTTTCAAGGTCAATTCCAAAATCACCCTTTGAAAGTCAGTTACAGTAGAGCCTTAAGAATATGCAATTTCCAGGCCCAATGGTATTTTATCTTTTGGTGATTTCAGTTTAGCAGATAGATGTTTAATTACTATTGGAATGGGTAATTCTTCCATATTACAAACAGCCTATACTAGCTAAGGACACGAATATAAAGTGATCTGTTGATTACATTGCAAAAATTCTTATAAGAGATTTATATTTCAGTCCTACGAAATTTGGCACTCTTTCTGTAAATAAAGAATTCTTTTCTATTTTAAAAGTGCATACAGTACAGGTTAACCTCGACTTATGACCGTAATGGATCCTGCCCATTATGGTTATAAATCATGATGGCCGTAAACAGGTTGTAAAGCAAATACTGCAGTCATTAAATGAACCAACGTTTCATACGGGCAGTTTTGTTGAAAACCAGAAGTACTGGTTTTCGGCAAACTCACAAACATATGTGTTTGTGTGACCGTGGGATGCTGCAAACAGCCATAAATGCGGCCATGTGCCTGAAGTTCCAGCCGTATAACTACAGAGAGGGGGAAACCATCAGAACTTAAATCTGGGTTGTGGTAGGTCAGTTGTAACTTTGAACGGTTGCTAATTCAAGGACTAACTTTATATGCAAGTGCGTTTAATCCTATAATCAGCCAAGGCTGACCGGGACCTCCTTTTATTAAAATATCTGTATCATAATTTAGAACATTTTCCAGTTCAATAGTAGTCCTCTAGAAGCAACTTTCATCAGAATCATACCTGGAGTTTAATGCATCCAAATATAAAAAGGCACTAAAATAACGAACTTTGTGTAGCTGATTTAAATCTTACTATTTTATGCAGAAATTTACAGTTGTTTGGATGAGCTCTAAAAGACTGGAAGAGCAATAAATTCCTTGGTGAGGACTTCTACTGGCTGAACTATACCAGAAAAACTCCTGACTGGTGGGCTCCTCTTTTGGCAGGTTTATTCACATATATAAATAACATTTCCCATAAGCCAGTTGGATAGAAGAAGATAATAGTTCCTACATACAAAAAGGGAACACAAAGGACCCACACAATTATAGGCCTATTATTCTAAGAGATATTGTGACTAAAATATATGCCAGGTTCCTTTTAAATTACAATTGACAGCTGGGTAGATGAAAAGTGCATTCTCGCAAAAGAACAAGCTGGGTTTAAACAGAGTCGATCCACTATCAGCAATTGCTTTGTTTTGAACCATCTAATTAAAATATGTCAGTAAGGAGAAACAACCATTTGTTGCCTTTCTAAAATTTAGTGCAGCATTTGACATAGTAAACAGAGAAATATTATGGAGAAAATTAACTATCCTCAATATGGAACTCAGGCTGCCGGCACAGATCAAAGCCCTTCACACAAACACTTACTTGAAAGTGCAGTTTGAGCATGACAATAGAACAGATACTAGCCAAGAAGTAAGACAAAGATGGATACTTGTACCACTGATATTCAATCTATACATCAACGACTTACCAAGACTGATGAAGGATCCAGAAGTATCTATGCTTAAAGCACTTAAATTCCTATCCGCTTGACAATATGATTTTTCGCAAGCTGGGTTGCATAGGTTGTTAAGAAACTTGGTCCAACTAATTTTCTGATTATGAATACATTAAAGTAAACTATCATGGCTTTTG